AGCGTGCCTTCGTGGTGTAGTGGTTCTGCACGCTAGGCCGGTATTCCAGAGGTTGCTCATTTTTAATCTCTCCGGCTTTTCTAATTAACTTAATGTCTCTACAATACCTTATTTTTATCCTTTTTACAATTATTATCATCATTAAAAAACTAAATGTGTTTTAACCTTTTGGTGGACCTGCGAATAGAAAATCCTCTCATAAGTAATCCCTCGTTTCGGGCTTTTACCATAAGCCTAGGGAAACTATATACCATAAACCATGATAGCTCCCAGTATTTATCGTAAAGGCTTATAAAAGCCCGAAGTGGAATCATTATTAAAGCAAAACTTTGGACCAAGCCAATTTGTAAAACGCTAGTTTACTTCCGGCTTTTACAGTAACGTAAACAAATACAGCTACTCCGTTAGACTTAGCCGAACTTAAACAACTTTTAAATTGTTGATAATTCTACAACTATTTCATGCAGATTAACTAAAAGCATAAAAACATTGACCAGAACATAAGAACAACATAATTCAATCATTTAAGCAAAACAAATTCACAATTTACCAGCATAGAAGGAATAAAATTGAGCATACTGAGATGAATAAGAGTATACATATATATACATTTATATACTTTTGGTGGGGCCGATTATACCTAAAAATTGAATTACGCAACTCTATGCTATAGCAGTCCTATATAAAGAATTTCAACGTTCTGAGGCTACTGGTTTTTGAGTTATATGAGATAGATAAATACTTACATGCAGACGTCGCGAATCTGAAATTAATTGTACTCTTAATAGATATCTTTGTTATGAACAGAGCGAATTGTTCATGATAAGATTAAATTTGAGTTCACTTCTAAGATGTCGAATAATGTAAAAGAGCAGAATTTATTTACTAGGAAAAGGAAACAATAACGAAGTTTTATTCATTAATAATAAGTTGGGATGAATCAGTAAACTGCCATTTCTTTTATTTTAATCAAAATGCGAGATAATTTCTTTTCTTAAAGACACATATTCATTTTTTGATTCATTAAGTTAAATTTATACATGTGTTCGCATATTCGTAATTGCTTGCAAAATCAGATTTTAATCTGTCATATATAAAAATATAAAATCGATAATCTGACCTTTCATGAAATAATTATAAAAATTATAAAACCTCGGAAAGAAAAAAAAAGAAAAAAAGATAAATCTTTTAAAGTTGACGCAACATCAAATATTTAATGATGATATTTTGAAGCAAAAATGTTATTTCTTTATATCTGAATTTTCATGTTTTGAAAATAAAATAGATAATAACTTTCTTTCCAATATTTTATCATTTCTCTTAGGCAATTTCAATAAACTTCATTTCCTACTTTTTTTTACACATATTCACCTGAAACATGCTTCTTGAGTTATTTTTATTTTTAACGCATTCGTACTTTAAGCTATAAATATTAAATTATTGCTGTAATTTAAGTTTTTTGAATTCTTATGATATTCTGAAAGAAATCGGATTCGTTGTAATCATAATAGTCTATAATTCATTCTCAGATTTTTATGAATGAAGTGTTTAGAAAACCTTTTTTTTATTTTATTCATTGACTGATATATTTCTGTTTCTGCTTTATACTATTTTTTCCATGCATGGTGCGGTTTTGAAAAAGTGTATACTTATTGATAAACGCTTTCAAAATTGCATTTTTCTTGGTATGTATGTCTATATACTTTGCCTGAAGCATTTGAGAAGGGCAATATTAGTATAAACCTTGTCGAAACTACTTAAATCAATCGCAATACTACTAAGCATAAAACATTTTATTATTACTGCTTTTTCCTGATTTATATAAGCATTAAAAAACATCCTGAAAGGCAAATAAACCAGTGTTTCTTAAAAATCCACCTTTAAAGTAGGAGAATAATGTAATTAATTACCATATTCCTTTGTGCATATTATCATTGTTTAATACGTTACCATGTCCAACTGGCTGGTAAAAGATCAGAAGTTTAGAGCTAAGTGAGGACACAGCTGATTTTCCTATTTCGTTCTTCGAATGCCTAATAAAAATCTCCGCATTTTAAATGTTTATATTTTAAAAGTTTATGACATAAAATGTAGCAGTTCATTTCGGTTTCTTGGTAGTAAAACCAGCGTAGGTATTGGCACTTCATTATGGAAACATTTTCTCTTGCTTAACATTTTGGGTTATTTTACGAAGCATGATAAAAAATAATGGAAATTTGCAAGAGATTACCTTTTATTGGTGTCACGTCCTGGGTTGAGGAAATATTTAACTTCAAAATACAAAAATCTTCTGCTGTTTAAGCAAGAACTCACATAACTAATAGAAACAGCGAGTGGTTGCGAAATTATAGCAGTGGCTCAGTACGTGGCATTATTAATTTTACACAAGTGTATTTTATCAGTTCATATCTTTATATTTCACTTAGTGCCAGTGGCTCCACGTCTTATGCACAGGTACTTTGTTATTTACGTTTTTTTTCAACTTTAAATCTGATAACACATTTTTAAATGTTTTATGCCAGTAAATGATAAAATTTTTTACTAAATGTAAATTCAGGTAACTCTTATGGTACTCTGCAGTACAGTTGTATAAAGTACTCGATACTACAGCAAACGTGTAGTTTTTGCAACTTCCTTTTTACTGTAGTAAATGGTAAAATAGACTAAAAACAAGTTTTATTCATTTCATGCGATATATAATGTAGTAGTTTGACAAGCGTGCGCCTTGCTTTACATAAGTTCAGTTTTACCGTTTCCAACATTAATATCAATTTGCTTAAAATAATAATTAATAATGAATAAAAGACGGTTTCTTCTTTTCTACGAAAGAAGGAAAAAATCAGTTGTACCAATTACACATCCCATTATAATTTATATTCAGCTTCTGTGTTATTGAAGAGGATATAATTTGACCTGTAAAAGCTCATGAGACTGTGGGATAATTTAGCAGCATGTCTGAATTGTCTAGGAACGTGTGTGCGTTAAAAAACGTCGATAGCTCTCACCGGTCAAGCGTACTAATACAGACAATGAAACTGAAAATAATTAGATACAATATCGTAACCTGATAATTATAGTACTTGAAAACTCTCTCGTTCCTATACTCTAGCATCTTGCATCTTCCACTACTGATACTGCTCTCACTACCTATGTTTTAGCATTTCTCCTCAAACCATGCTTGAGGGCAATTTTGTAAGAATTTCTGCCTTCTGAAATTTTAAATAGTTCAGTAACGCAGTAAGCTTCAATGATCATTTCTTCCTTCTAATTGCAGTCAATTACATTTCTAGGAAACATTTCTAGGAAAACTATTTGATGCGTTTCCCTTCCGTAGGTATGATACCATTTTCGTCCGTTATAACCATTAACTTTACGCATTCTAGTGCTCATTTCTTTAAAGAAGATCGATGATTAATCCAAATTACGCATGTTATCCTATTTATCTGGATCAGGCATTTATCTTCTGCAGCATATTTACAGCGCATACAAAGTCGGTAGAAACACCTCTGCACAATCTGTCAACGATAATCACTGATGGGGCAAGACAATGGTTGGTAATATTGATAGATGCATTGTCCTCTGCACGAAAGAAGAATCATGGTCAAACCTAATGTCATATCATTGAATCGCCCATAGTGGTGTGTGGTATAATACCCATTGCCCTTCGGAGACGTCATGAAAATAGTTAAAAAAATAGTAAATGTAATTCGATTACCTTGTTTTGTAACATCATCGTTTCAAGTCCCTACTAGAAAAATTTGGAAATTCTGATCTCATTCTGCATACTATCCGCTGAGTAAAGTTCTTGCAAGATTCGTAAATTTAACTGAAAAAATGTTTAAAAAAATCTTGATGCCCAAAATCAAAATTTTGTTGAACTAACCAGACATTTGCAAGCTGAAGGATTTAGGCTTTGTCACAGATATAATTGAGAAACTGAATTCTTTAAAGTTTGAGTTGCAAGGAAAATATAAAACATAGCTTTAACGGCAGGGTCTCTTAAGTGGTTTAAAGCTTATATGATTCTGTGGATAACACATCTGCAGATGAAGTTGTTTGGGCATTTCCCAAATATGAAAAATCATAGATGAAACTGAAATTGTTTTACCTTCATTTGTTATCAAGCTTTAATTACTTCAATATCAGTTAGAAAAACGATTTCAATAGTTTAATGTTACCGAGCCAATGGTTACCTTTTCCGTTAATCCTTTCGCTTGCTACGTAAATGTAACCGAAATAGCTGCATACATTGCAGAGTTTTTTCAAGCAGGAAAGGAAGAATAGGAGCTAGAAACTTTGTATATTTCAAAATGAATGTATATTATATGAGAATGTTTGCAATATAGCTGACAGAAACAAATGTCTGTTCTTGAAAAGAACATCATACTGGATATAATCACTTTTTGGTTCCAAATACTTGCGTCAATTATTGTGCAGAACTCGATTTACGAAAGAATGCCTTGATGATTAATTACAAGCATGAATATCATTATCTCTGTTAAAGGAATGGTCAGTGAAATACTATGGCAAATATCACACTGATCTTAAAAATTACATTTTTATTAAACATGTTAATATCAGCTAAGTGTAAGCCATAGTCTTTTATAACTTTTTTCTGTGTTATTTAGTAATTACTTATTTTACATAAGAACACTATCAATAATTTTTATATCTTACCAGTACATTGTTGGAATATTTATTTATTTCCCTTGTATATTGTGCATTATTAACTGTGTCAAGCTATACATTTGCCTTGGAAACATCAATGCAACCGCGGCCCCACTGATATTCTAGAATGGTATCTGGGTATCTAGAATGGTTCTAAGGTATGAAATGTCTGGGGATGCCTGGTTGCAGATATTCATAACAATGTGCATCTACTTAATTTACACGTGTATGAGAAAACAAACACAAATTGCTTAAAATAAATATGAAATTTTATTTCATTTGGTAATGCATCTGAAAAGAATTAAATAATCACTTAGAAATATAAAACCTACCTTAATAATGTCATGCAGTAATAAGACATAATTATGATCTGCAGATATACTGTACTTCTGTATGTCGTACTCCGCCTAGAATGAAATAATTAACACTAAATTTTCAAGAGAGAACAATGCGCTTTAATAATAATAATTAAAATAATATCAGCGTTAAAAACCGAGAATAATGTCACAAGAAATAATGCAAAAATATCGTAAAAAGAAAGAAGCAGAATTAAATGAATTCTAAATAGAAGTTAAAGTAGAATTAACACTAATGTAAATCTGCAAACAAATTTGGAATTAAATTTAAAAACGTTCAAAGATAACGTACGATTCATGAACATTCTTCTCTACTTTAGTTCTACTTTTTGGTTTACATTAAAACGTGTTCATACATTAATATTGTAATGAAAGCATTCAAAAAGGCTGTTGTTTTGGGTCTTAGGTATTCGTGGTTATTATGTGCAAATTCTTAATAGAGCAACATATTTTCCTGTAATAGCGAGCTGAATTTTTCATGAAAACATGTTTCACATTTAAGAATAAGATGTATTTAAATAAATGATCTTAGTTATAAAAAATGCTAACATAATTTGTAAAATGCCTATTTTAAGCTATCGTTCTTTAGATGTGCGAAGAAAATGAATTTTTAATCTGCTTGTTGAAGCTTAATTAACAATATCATTATCAAACAGCAGTTTTTAATATAGGTAATAAATCTGTTTAGAGAATATTATTTTTATTCGAGCTCATTTCATTCTTCGGTAGTGTCACATATTAAAATAAAATGTACTGCACCTTAAGCGCATTCTGTAGTTAAATGCAGTGGAAAGGATCTTTCAAAAATCATATAAAAAGATTTTAAAGAAACTTCATGCAATACTTGTATTATTTCGTTTATTATTTTTACTTTTAAAATCTGCTCGTTAGGTGTAGGGCAGATGCATTTCTCTGTCAAGGTCCATGATGTATGACATTAAAAAAAAACACTTTGCGACTTACAATAATATAAATAAAACTGTTTATAAAATTATTTATTACATGGATAAGAAATGGGATAAATTATATTATTATAAACCGCGCATGCCTGTTGATGTCAATCAGTATCATACTGCACTAAATTCAGCAAATATATATATTCAGTAACATATTGCACTAATAATTCAACAAAAACATATCAACTAAAGTGCACAGAGACTGATATCATAACACTATTATAAAACGTATCTATTAATACTTACAAATGTCATATTCTCTACAATTATTTTGATGTTTTTTGACCTGACGGAATATATTACAAGTCGTCCATATCTATCCCGATATTCCAATTGGTCATCTAAAATAGAATTATAATTTTAAATGTTACGTTACAAGTACATTTCACTCAAATCATGAAATATTTTGTTTGTTGCTGTTATAAATTAAGTTTGTAGTTTCGTGTTTTATCATCCGTCATTTCTTATTTTATTCAGCCTAATGTGCAAAGGTTTAGTTAAAGCGATTTAAACATATATCCTTTAGAAAATCAAGCTAAAATAAGTGAATATTTATGAAAAAATTTAAGGGGACTCGTACACCTTAAAACCTATAAGATTTTCGAATATGTGACTGTTGCAAGAATTGAGATAACTTATTTATTTTAAAAGCAATTACTTCCAACTTTTTACAGCTGACTACATAATATAGCTGTTTTCTGAAATAGTGATCAGAAAGTTTGTGTTGCCGCAAATATTTTTATAATTTAATCCGCTTTTTGATAAAAGTTTTCGTCATGTTTCCACCTTGCGCGCACAGTTTAAAACATTCTGTCGCATAATTTAATTATATATTTAATATACAGCTTTTATAATATTTGGAAACTACTGTGAACCAAAAAATTCTAAGAATTTCATGTGAAATTTTTATTTTGTTTGGAGTCGAGTTTATAAAATGTATTTTATTAAAAAAATCTGTAATGTTTTCGTCCATAAATTTTTTAATATTAGAATATTTATCAGATTTTAGGTTGAGTTAAAAGATAGGGCTCATATAAAGAATTCCATCTAATTTAAAGTATGTACCATTAGCCATTTTTTAAAATATCGTGCGCGCAAGGTGGAAAAATGACGAAAAATTTTGTCACAAAGCGGATTAAATTACAAAAATATTTGTGGCAACACAAACTTTCTGATCACTATTTCAGAAATCAGCTATATTATGTAGTCAGCTGTAAAAAGTTGAAAGTAATTGATTTTAAAATAAATAAAATATCCCAACTATTGCAACAATCACATATTCGAAGGGTGTTAAGAGGTCTAAGGTGTATGAGCCCCCTTAAATTGTGAAAAATAAAAATTAAACTCTTGAGCGGGCAACGAACCATAAACCTTGATTGCAGTCAGTGTTAACTGGTGAATCAAAGGAAATCAAAAACACAATAAAAGCTCTGTGCTTTTTGTACGTGTTGTAACAAATAAAAGGTAAAGATTTTGTTTCTGTGACTTATCTCGCTTGTCTGACAGCAGCATCAGAACAAGCTCATGGAATTCATTGTGGCAAGTGGCAAGGAGTGCAATATTGCGCCTGTCGTTGGCAAGAACCTTCAGCACCATACAGGTGCCACTATGACTTTGCTCAGTTTCGCTACCAGTTTTGATGGTGAGCACCATCAAGAACCAAGCACCAGGCTAAGGTATAACCAAACAGAATGATGCCCGATCAGCGGAAAATCTCCTAACAGCTAATACTGCAGGTCTGACAGAGCAACTGCATTTATTGAGCTTAATGAAGATTCGTTACACAGTACGTTTTCATACAAATGTATCAAAGTATTTATCATAGATCATGACTGTGGTGCTACAATAATCTAGGTAACAGAAATACATCGAGTAAAGTTATTATGATAGACCACTGGTGTATACTAAGTGGTCGAACAATGTTCTCATGTGTTCTATCTTATGTGCTGCTACAATAATCTATATAACAGAAATACATCGAGTAAAGTTATTATGATAGAGTACTGGTATATACTAAGTAGTTTAACGATGTTCTCATATGCTCTATAATTACACAGCAAAGCCCGTTACTCCGCAGTATGAAGTAAGTTGTAGTAGGTGTGTTACAGTAGTGATAATTCTTAGATAGACAGTTATTATGTACTAAATACTAAATGTGAATACCAAGAATATATTAGACACCGATATTTAAATTGTAAGGGAACTATAATTTCGTGATTCTATAATAAAGAAATAAAATGAAATAATAAAAAAAATCTATCAGCTGTGAATAACACGTTTAAACATCATTAACAACACATATAAAAACATTACTTATAAACAACTGCAAACATTTGACAGATTATATAACGAAAACATTAATTATTTGACTATGAAAATTCAAAGAGTGTGTTAAGACACAAACTTGTCATGTCTAGTTCAAATAATAAAAAGGTAAATTAGGAAAAATGTAGGCAAAATATATAAAGCCTATTATGTTAAACAACAAAACTGTAAAATTAATTACATTAAAAAGAGAATAACTGGTTTTCAATAAAGAATTATGTAATACAGGAGGACGGGTCCGAGGGTATTCCACTCCTTTCCCCGACCACCAGCCTCTCGAGAGGAATTTTGGCTCGTCGCATATATATAGTTTCCCATACCGCACTGACACTATGCATTTCGAAACACCTATGCCTTGCTTTGTATTCGAAACTGGGCCCTCCCGAACGGCAGTCGCGGCCGCTAACCACTATCTCGGTAGGACGGCAGTCTAAGAATTTAAGCATAAATTTTGATTTGAAAAGGAAATTGCTTTTGAAGTGTCTGTTGTGACGCAAATTTTAATTGTGCTTATATAATTTAATTAATCAATATTTAGGTTTTTATTTAATTGAAATTGTTTATAAAGAGCGTAGTGGGAATTCATTTTTGGTAGTTAAAAGCTTTTTATGCTTATTTTTCTATGATTAGTCTTTCACACGAAGACAGGGAGCGGTTTTACGGAACATCTGGGCGGAAGAGGGGGTCTCAGTGTACTCCCAATTGATTGTCAATAGCATTCACAATCAGCTTTAACTGTTAAAGTATTTCTTTGCTGCAGGAGGTTCTGTTTACTGGGTGGTAAAGGAAGATTTAATTGGCGTCTTTGCTTCACTTTTGTTTGCGAATTTTAACAGTGATGGATGAATAAGATTTTCGAACGGAAGGGCTTCTGTAAATTCTTATTTTAAGGACAGCAGTACTTTTATCTCTTTTTGTTCTCTGCTTTTAGCTGGGATCGAATTTTGTTTCTAGCGCTTTGGGGGTGACTCGCTTGTTGCAGGTGTCCAGATGATGTCTTTGTACAACTTTTCTGCTACTTTTCGTTAGGAGGAGGGATTGAAGTAATTATAAAAAGAGAAAATTCTTCCATTTGGTCAAATTTAATTTTAGGTTTAGTATTCAGCTTCTAGAAATTGGTCGGTTTTTCTTCGGTAAATTTTATTCGAGGCTTGTGCGGGAGTAAAAAAGGTAGATTCTGGAGCCAGATCGTCTTGCTGCCGGGTGGAGATGCATATTATTTTCTCGACTGGAGATTATCGTACGGAAGGACCTGAACCAGCGCTTTCTCACTACGAGCGCTAATTGTCTAGGCACCCACCCGAGAGGGTAAATGGAGACCTTGCATTTCGGTTGAAAATGCAATTTAGTACGTATTTACATGTTAAAATGTGCCCTGTTCCCTAAAGTTGCACTCTAATACCTGCAGTACTGAGGGCGGCTATGTCTTTTTGAAACGACTGTTGATTAAGAAATAAAACAAAATATGTTTTGGAATAGAAATTTTCTGGCAGAAGTTTAGTGTTCAGGATGAAAAGTGTCGTCTGCTAAATTTATTTGTCTCCAAACAATATGAATATAAACAAATTAAGGATTGAAGGACATCTTTCTGCATGCCTTCGTGTTGTAACGATAGCACACTAGGCGCGTATTCGAGAGGTCCGTGTTTCGAGTCCCGGCTAGGGCATTACTCATTTTTCATCTCTCCTGCTATCAAAAATCCTAATATCTCTACAGAAGCTTAGTGTTCTAAGTGGCGCCGAAACTCGAATGTGGATGATAATTCTCCACCAGCAGGATTTGGAGATTGGGTCACCTAATCACCAGTCGCCCCTTAAAAGGGGAGGTATATATGGGTATTTCTCCCGCCATTTTAGCATGCTTTCGTGGTGTATTGGTGAGCACACTCGGAACGTATTCGACAGATCTGTGGCTCGTGTCCCTGCGAGAGCATTGCTCATTTTTCAGCTCTCCTGCTTTAAAAATAACCTAATGTCTCCACAACATGAAAAATATACAATGCCCTCGCCGGGACGCGAACCGTGGACCTCTCGAATTCCAGGTACGGCTCGCTTATAACTTGAAATAGGCGAACATATTGTCAAGCTTGCTTGAAAGATGAAAATGAGCCGCTGGTAATATTATTAACGCTTATAAATAGCAAATTATTTAAAAAATAAGATAATTTTTGTTAACCCGTAACAGGGGACGTGCGGTCTGACGGACCGCGCCACATATGTTCCTCCCATCACCCCTATTGCATTCTTTGTCCAATTGAATCCATGGATTCTTCCCCTAGCTTCACGTTTCGTGACCTTCTTTCTGACCCCTTCTTATCGGAATGCTTTGGCAAGTGTATCGGTTGAAATTCTCATAGAGCGGTCTGTGAGACCTCACCTCCCTCTCAGTGTTACAATTTTCGGCAGTAGTGAACACGTGGCTCTGAAGTTAGGTCTGCGGAGATTCATTTATCCTTCTGATCCGCGTTATGCAGAAGAACTGAAAAAAATTCTAGACGAAGTTGGAAGTGATTTTAGTGAAGAAGATGACTGTGAAGAAAATTTCTGCGAAAGTGCCCACTCAACAGACTCTGAATTTTCTGCAGACAGCAATGATTTCTCTGATCTAGAAACAACTAATTCCGTAAAATACTACTATGGAAAAAATCGGTTCAAATGGTCATCCGTTGAACCAAATCGAAAAGTTAGAAGGCCAGCTCACAATATCGTAAGACTTCCTGGACTAAGACCTTACGTAAAAATTGATAATTCAGCAAAAAATGTATGGCAGCTACTTTTTACTGACGAACTTTTAAGCATAATTGTGAAATGGACAAATCTAAAAATTGAAAGAAAAATAAAAAAAATTATATGTGGTCCGATTAAAGGTGAAATTGACTACACCTGTGTTGATGAACTTTAGCACTTTTGGGTTTACTTATTTACACATCAGTCTTCAAATCCAATCATGAAGATGTTATGGTTCCAAAAGGTAAGGTAGGTACCTAAAAGGTTTTCTACTCAGTTGACAAAACACT